AAGGTTCGGACAAAGGAAAGAACGAAAAATCTCAGGAAATTCCGGAGAGACTACTTCAATGCATCAGGACACCATTGTTGCAAGGATGCTTCAAATGTGTACGTTCTAGATGTCTAGGAGTAGTTAAATTTTTCTTTCATTGGAATTAGATGTAATGAACTCACTCTGATGTAATCTTCCTGTTCAATATATCATTGTTGTTCGTTCATATGCTCTTTCTTGAATTTACTATCATTGTATGAAAATATAATTTTATTTGAATGTTTCTTATTACTGGAAAGTAACTTTGAACATGACATAGATAGAACACCTAAGTGATTTGGGATCTAGGGATAGACTCCAATAACTTGGTCATTCTTAGCATCAGACTTAATGCAAATTGTATATTAAATTGACTAAGGGATTTTCATTTTCATATATAAATTTAGAACTAGTTGCTAAAGGATTAGGACTAGTATGCCTTGATGTGAATGTTTAAATGAAATAATAATGTATTGTACAAAGTTTTATCCTCATATGATTCATGAAACCCAATTCCCCAATGAAGTTTTTTTAAATATAAATTCTTTGAACACTAACTGTTTGATAAAATATCCAAAAGAGTTTCTTGTGTTGTTTTATGCATTTTGATGTCTAATTGAGTTATAAAAGGAAGAATTGTCATGTGTTGGGAGACGATACTTTTACTTATTCCCTACGATTTGGTATACTTGCCAAAAAGTTATCACTAATCTTAACAATTGTAAATAATCTATGTTAAATTTCTTGTTACACATCAACGGTTTAATAAAAAGAGTTTTCATTGTATTTTTGTAAACTTTGTAGTCTAATTAAGTTATTATACAAGAGTTGTCGAGTTTTACATAAGTCTCTTGGAAGAACATAATATTTATCATTTGCTATTTACAACCAATCCACTTGTTATGTAGGTGGTTTTCCATTAAGAGCTCTCCGAGGAAGAAACAAATTCAATCCTCTCATTTCCTCTCCAGCACCTCACCACATGCTGTAACACCCACCTACATATCAACAACATGCCACACCAACACACAAAAATAAGAAGAGGGAATCAATTATCTAAGAATACCAAATTGATTCTAGGTGATTAACGGGGAATCAGTTTATATATTTTAAAATAATTTAATAGGTTAAAATGACATAGTCATGTATGGTATTTCCTTTATGATTACATGGTTTTCCTTCAAAATCTTCTCATTTGTACTAGGAAGCATTGGTCAATGATCACCCGCGGCTTGCAATTTCTTTCAAATTAGTTGAACCAAATATCTTATAGCTCGCTCTTCCTTGTCTTGTGAACAATAGTAATACGTTGTTTGAAATAAACACAACATTAAAATTCATGAAATAAATATTATTCTCATTTTTCAAGTGTGAAGAACCAAATCAAACCACATAAATAAGATGATACAAAATAAATCAAACATATATACACGTAAGAAAGTATTAGAAAAGTATTAGAAAAGAGATGGACAAATTATATGTAATATGCAATATTAGGAAAAGAATATTGGTTACTTGTGATTTTGAGAATGGTTATAATAAGTAAAAGAAAAGGTTTTGGAATCCTCTCTTCGTAAGACCAAAACTTTTCTTTATCTTTTGTTATATTTATTGAATTGCTTTATCTTCTAATTACCAAATTTGATAAAATGAAACATCAATTCAGAAGTAAAAAAATAAAAATAATAATAGATTTGGTAATCTTAATGTTAAAAATTCAATTCAATGTAATTTGAAATGTATTTTATAAAAATTTAAAAATACATTTTAAATTGCACAATCTAAAATATTAAACAACATTAAAAAATTCAGATTATGCAATTCTGAATATAACATCTAAGTTTTAACTTCTAAATTGTATAATAATTGTTTTTAATCACTCACTCTTAAATCTTTTCAATAAAATTATATGAAAGAATATTTTAAAAAAAATTTCCCATCCCATAGAGGTGCATGAAAATACCATGGAATGCAGGACGAAAGAAACAGCCAAATTACTCACATAAAATTTTTGAATTCACTTATATTATAGTCGGTTGAATATTTTATCCTATCACTAGAGTTTTTTTTCCTCTGAATTAGAAACTAATTTATTTTTTCAGTGTTATTATCACCACTACTATATGATATTTTCAGAAATAGTAAATGAAACTCATAATTTTGTGTTTTCATGAAATTGACAAGATAAGAAGAAAAAGCTTTGATTTGAAAGCATATTCCATATTTTCATTGCTACGCGATTCTCGCACCACCAATTAAGCAAAATCATAACGTTATGAAGGTGAATTAACGTGCTAATCACTTTCTTTGCAATCTAATGTCTTCATTTAATTTTTCTTTTATGTTGCATATGGCACTTTATTTTAAGATGTTTTTTTTAGTTTCCATGATCGCAATTTAATATCTTTTTTTATTAGATACGTAGTCGTATAATAAATATTAACATATTTTATTTTCTTTTTAAATAAGAAGAATAATAAAGTTAGTATAAAACTTTTAATTTCATTAATTTTGTTTGAGTTCATTTTTAATGATTAAAGTAAATGAATGACATGCATTTAGTTTTTCGTAATTGTTCTAAAAAGTGTTTATCATAAGAAATATCAATTTTAATATACAATTAATTTTGAAATTTTTTACTTCTGATTTATTATTTTTTAAACTTAAATTTTTAATAGTTTCTTATAAAATTAATTGAATATTAATATCGATTTTTTTCATTAATAAAAATAGATGAAAATTCATATCTATCAAATATATAATGTTTAATTATCGTAATTATTAAAAGAGTTCAAATAAATTTACGAAATTAAAAGTTTTACATTAATACTTATAACTTTTTATTTATTAATTATACTAAGAACAAAATATGTTTTTACACCTAATTTTATTTAATTATTAATAAAGTTATATTTTTAAAGTAGGAAGTGTTTGTTTAGTTATATAATTGAGAATCTTACTTAAAGATGATGCTACATCATGTAATAAAGTAAATTAATTAGAATGGGAACAGAACATTATTGGCCACATTTCTAGGTCAGCTTTTGACTTTCTAAGAGTACAAAGTTGTATAACTGCCAACAACTTCACTTGATTAACGGAATTTATAAAATATTTTTTAAAGAAAAAAACTTTAAATGTAATTACTTTCATCACTGTTTATAAAAATTACTTCAATTTAAATAATATTATTATTTAAAAAAGTTTACCATAAAAAAAAAATTGTTTGTAAAAACTCTAATTATAACCTGAATAAAAATAAGAAAGAAGCATTGAATATGATTTTTGTCAAGTAAATTATTGAATTTAAGTATGACTAATGTCAACGAGTTTGTAGAATGAATATTTTTAAATAATTTTATTTTTGTATATAATATATCGTATTAAAAAGCATTACTTCTAATAAAAGTTAATAGCTTGTATTTTTTATATATATAATAAGTAATCTATTTTTTTTTCAATTATTTATTTCTGTTTTCTTAATTTTATCTATTAAGATAACATAAACTGATTTTAGATTGCTATTTAAAAAGTTCAGTGTGTTTTGAAATTTTATGTCATCTTAATAACTAATAATTAATTATTTTAGTAACTATTTTTCTGAAAATTCTTACTTACATCTATTCTTAATGTATGTTAAATAATTATTTTAGGTTTAATGTTTTAATAGGTTTCTGTTTTCGTTCACAATATCAAATAAGACCCTTTCTTTTTTGACGTTTCAATTGGGTCCTTATTTTTGTAAAATTGAATTAAATAGGGCATTTCGTTAAATTGATGAGACGGCGGTAAATGTGTATGCTGACAGTGTTGTTTTAACACTTTTAACGCCCGTCTCATCAATTTAACGGAAAAGTCCTATTTAATTCAATTTTAAAAAAATAAGGACTCAATTGAAACGCCAAAAAAGAAAAGGTCCTATTTGACATTCAGGACGAAAAAAAGGACCTATTGAAACATTAAACCATTATTTTAAGTATCATTGATTGGAGTTGCACTTAATGCAGAATCAGATCATTTGTTTTGAAATTTGGTGAAATTAATTTTAAATTAAGATGTGTGGTCAGATTTATCTCAGCCACGAATTTATACTTATAATAATCTTTAAAAATTGATTTTACATTTTATTCAAACTGCCATAAAATTTTATCACTCAAAAGGTTTCAAACCACAAGACAATAACGTGTACTTTATTTCTTAAACCGACCCAAAAATAAAATTAAAATTAAAATGTCTGAAAAAACTGAAAACGAAATAAACTAAAAATTTAACAAATATAAAAATAAAATAAAATTATTAGATTAAATTAAATTTTGAATTTGATTTTAAAAACTAAATAAATTCAATTCAAATCAAAAGTTATACATTGAAGCTGTTAATTGACATTAATCTTCTTTTTATATATACACAGAATTTATAATTTTTATTTTAGATGTTATGATATTTTACACAATAAGACACAAAGAAAAAGTAAACATTGAAGCTGTTAATTGACATTAATCTTCTTTTTATTCTTAAACATTCTTAAGATTTTTTAAATTCCTTGTATTATTTTATATGATAGTGAGTTGTTACAAATTTTTTTAAACTAGATAATCACAATGAAAAACAAGTTAAAACAATTTTAATTATATATTTTTCAACAAATCTTTACACGTTATTTTAATTACTTTATATATTGATTATTTGAAAGAAAAATTACAAATATGGAAATTGACTTCAAATGCTGTTTAGAAGAAATTTTCAGAATTTGAAGTAGTTGAAACCTACTTAATTCATTACATTTTTAACTTGATATTTAGATTGAAGATGCATTTTAAAAGATTTTACCAAAGGTCAACGTTTTAAAATTCATTAAATTTTAACTACCTATGGAATTGATAGAATTCTAGAACCACAATTTCATCCATAAAAAATCCAACACTTTAAAGTGGGTCCCAGATGAATGCATGAATTCTTAAGGGTTAAGAAGGGACATCGATGTGGGACCCACACGTTTGTCTTAGGTTGTGGCAAGTTCCAACTTGGAAGGAAGATGGCAACACCAACACACAACTTTCTTCTTTTCCCACCACAAATGTCTTTTCTTTCCTTCATTACCAATTTATTAATCCCTTTCACCCTTTATCTTCCTCTCTCTCGTTTCTCTTTTATATAAAGTATAAACCTCAAAAGGGGTCTCTAATTCAACTCCAATTCAAATTCCCTCAACCCCACTTCATTTCCAGCACCTTAATTCCAAGGTACGTTTCTTTTTCCACCATTTGACTTTGTCTACAATGTACAATCTGTCTTTTTGGTTTCGGATGTAAGACATGTTCGTGGATATTGTTGGATATGTGATATGAAATTCTGAGTCATATGATGAAATGGGTAGTGCTGAATTTGACTTGTGAGTTATTGTATTAATTATATTGGTGTCTCCTCGTGCTATATAATGTCAGCACAATCATGATTTGTTTCATGTCAGAATCAGAATCAGAATCATAATCTTGGTGTCATCGGTTTTGGGTGTTTCGATTTCAACCTCTTGGGTTGATGAAATGATGCATCGGTTTTCATTGGTGATTCTTGTGCTGACAATATGTGGTGTGAGATGCAGAATGGCGAAAGCAGAAGAGAATGTGTACACGCTGGCTTCGGTGAGGGAGGATTTGATTAGGCAAGAGGATACCATCATTTATGGTCTTATTGAGAGAGCCAAGTTTCCTTCCAATTCTCATACCTATGATGAGAAGTATGCTCAAATCCCTGGCTTTTATGGCTCATTGGTGGAGTTTGTTGTTAAAAATACTGAGGACGTTCAAGCTAAGGTACTATTTGCTGCTATTGCCTTATTCTTAGCTTGTTTGTTTTGTTGTCTTGTTGTCTTGTTTTGTGTTGGGTTGGCAGATTGTGGCGTTATAATGGTATTGTGACAGTAATTGTGCATCTCACTGGATGCAGTGCTTTCTTTCA